ATTGTAGCATAGAGACATGACAGTGCTGACTCGCATCTCTGCAAATCGCGTCTGCTGTGTAATATCTAAGAGTATGTCAATGAGCAGACAGCTCTTATGCCTTGGAATGTAAGAGCAGGTATTCTGTTTGAGAATATACTCTTCGCCTCGCGCAACCGGAGCTGATATCTGCATGGCCCTCAATTATCTATCTTCTCTCATTTTGGAGGGTTATGTAAACCTTCCCCCCTCCCAGCCGCTCTCGGTGAACAAGAAGCACAAAGGGTGATGTTGCTATAATTAGCTGTGTGTTTTTCTGTCAGCAGATGAACTTAACCCATTGCAATATATCTACATCTTGAAATACCAACAACATTATCCTTCTGCAGTAGAGCGGCCGAGAAAGTTGTAAAGAGCAGATGAGCAGTTCAATAAATACATTCTACATCTTGAAATGTTATATGTCATCTGACTTGAAAGTTGATAGGGTCAAATTTAAACTATCGGAGAAATTGTTGATCCGAGAGCCCCTGAAACGTAGAGTCTAAATTCCCCACAGCACAATTGCACTCCCATCTTACAAATCTCGAATCTCCCCCACAGGTTCGCCTGTCGCGTCGGGCTCATTCTGAGTAACGGAAGCATATTCCACAATACTTATGCCCACATACGCATCCGTTGACCGCTGAGCCAGTTCCTTCGCAGTAGCAGCACTTGATGGCTCGATTAACCCAGGTCTTCCGTTTTTGTTGCGTCTTTCTCCAGTTTCCCCTTCAGTGTAAGGCAACATATAGAGCGCTTCTGGATCCCCATCACTATCGATAGCTTGGCTAAGATGGATCGCCGGGACTGAGCTTTTTTGGAGATTTGTTTGAGCATCATGACAGCTATTCGCTTGGTTCGGTTCGTGTGATGGGTCAACTGATCTTTTTTCCCCACACAGTCTCCTTTCGTGCAAGCACTCCGGACACGATGCATGGCCACATCGTCGACATTCCCCCCCACCACTAACATCCTCCTCACATCTGCAGCAGTAGAGTCTCAGACGTTGGCGAACTGCTTTTTGAACATATCCTTCCTTGATTTGGCTTTTTCCCTGTATTTTGTTCAATAGATCATGTGCTGTGATTTGGTTGTCATCTTGATCCTGAGATCTGTTGGTTCTTTTGTTGGGCTCTGCATTTTTTCGCATCGCATCAGTGCTTGCTCTTTTCCGTACTTGCTGGCCCGAGGTCAAATCTTTGTCCATCTCTGAAAAGGCGTTAGCTACACAATGAAAAGAACATCCTAAGAAGATCAATACCTCTCAAACCCAGAATTACTTTGCTTGCTGCTGTGTCTAAACCGTTTGTGTACTCAATTGTACCTTCACCAGACCATGAAGTGAAGAATATCATATAAGGTCTGAAGATATTTGTGCTCGAGCCTTTAGCTTTAATATCCTTATTCTGAAGCTATAAGACTAGAGTAAGAAGCATCCAGCCGCATGACAAGCTTCCCAGCAAAGAAGACAAGGCGGGAGCAGAAATGAAACCTGGAAGTTAGGTCAATTGATATTGTTATGGTATTAAATAGAAATAGCTAAAACCCTTCAATGTTCAAGCAATTAGAAGCAAGTAAATTTAGAAGAGCATGGGAC